CCCCCCACCGGGAGGAACGGCGGGGCTCCGCATTCTGATTGGTTATCGCCGCTGTCACTCTCTCCCTCCCGCCTCTGCGATTGGGCGAGACGTGCCGGGAGGGAGGCGCTCTGGCCGGGCCGTGCGTCTCTGTGGCCGCGCCCTCTGCTGCCCCCTCAGGGCGGCCCGTGATGGCGGCGGGAGGCCCCGCTGGGAATCGGGGGGCCCCGCTGGGACCGGGGGGGGTCCCGCACCCCACCGCCCCACCGGGGGAGGGGGGCACAGACCCCCGAGGGGCGAGGGCCGGGCCCGCACCACCTTTGGGCCCGCGGTTATAGTGGCTCTGCCGCCCCGTTAACAGTGTCATGGCCGCCCTGAGGGGTGCCCAGGCCCCGTCCCTCCAGCCCCGGTGCCCATCGGCCGCCCCGGCGCTGCGGGTCCCCTCTGAAGGCCGTCGAGGGCATCCCCGGCTGCCGACAGCCCCAGAAAGCAAATGTCCCCAGCAATAATTGATGGCCGAGGTCACCCTCGGCCTGTCGGGGCCCGGCTCGTCTTTCCCAGCCCGGAGGTTTAATTACCTCCGGTAACGACAGCCGGGGCCGGAGACTCCCCTCAGCCGCCTGGCACAATGGCGGATCCTGTTCCCCATCAATCATTCATGGCCCCGCTGCTGGAAGGGGTTTCTCGGGGGCTGCTGGGCTGGGGAACGGGGAGGGGAGGGGAGGGAATTTCCAACCTTCCCGGCGTGAAGTCGGTGCCACCGGTGCCGGGGTGGGACGGAGGGACCCGGGTCACCCGCTGTCCCCACAGGGTGAGCAGTGGAGGGTTTGGAGGGGACACGGGATTTGCAGGGGACATGGGATTTGGAGGGGATGTGGGGTTTGTTGGGATGCAGGGCTTGGAGGGGACATGGGTTTGGAGGGGACACGGGATTTGGAGGGGACACGGCTTGGAGGGGACACAGGATTTGGAGGGAACACAGGATTTGGAGGGGACATGTGTTTGGAGACATGGGTCTTGGATGGGGCAGGAGATTTGGATGGGACAGGAGATTTGGATGGGACACGGGATTTGGAGGGGACACGGGATTTGAAGGGGACACAGGGTTTGGAGGGGACATGGGGTTTGGAGGGCACATGGGTTTTGTTGGGATGCAGGGTTTGGAGGGGACACGGGATGTGGAGGAGACACAGGGTTTGGATGGGACATGGGTCTGGAGAGGACATGGGTCTTGGCTGGGACAGGAGATTTGGATGGGACACGGGATTTGGAGGGGACACGGGATTTGAAGGGGACACAGGGTTTGGAGGGGACATGGGGTTTGGAGGGCACATGGGTTTTGTTGGGATGCAGGGTTTGGAGGGGACACGGGATGTGGAGGAGACACAGGGTTTGGATGGGACATGGGTTTTGGAGGGGACGCAGGGTTCAGAGGGGACATGGGTTTGGAGGCGACACGGGTCTTGGATGGGACATGGGTCTGGAGAGGACATGGGTCTTGGCTGGGACAGGAGATTTGGATGGGACACGGGATTTGGATGGGACATGGGTCTTGGATGTGACAGGAGATTTGGATGGGACACAGGATTTGGAGGGGACGTGGGTCTTGGATGGGACATGGGTTTTGGAGGGGACGCAGGGTTTGGAGGGGAAATGCGTTTTGGAGGGGACGCAGGTTTTGGAGGGGACGCAGGGTTCAGAGGGGACATGGGTTTGGAGGCGACACGGGTCTTGGATGGGACATGGGTCTTGGATGTGACAGGAGATTTGGATGGGACATGGGATGTGGAGGGGACGTGGGTTGGGAGGGGACTCGGGATTTGGAGGGGACATGGGTTTTGTCGGGATGCAGGGTTTGGAGGGGACACGGGATGTGGAGGAGACACAGGGTTTGGAGGGGACACGGGTCTTGGATGGGACATGAGATTTGGATGGGACATGGGATTTGGAGGGGACATGGGGTTTGGAGGGGACACGGGATTTGGAGGGGACATGGGTTTTGTTGGGATGCAGGGTTTGGAGGGGACACGGGATGTGGAGGAGACACAGGGTTTGGAGGGGACATGCGTTTTGGAGGGGACACAGGGTTTGGAGGGGACACGGGTCTTGGATGGGACATGGGTTTGGAGGGGACATGGGTCTTGGATGGGACAGGAGATTTGGATGGGACACGGGATTTGGATGGGACATGGGGTTTGGAGGGATGCAGGGTTTGGAGGGGACACAGGATGTGGAGGAGACACAGGGTTTGGAGGGGACATGCGTTTTGGAGGGGACACAGGTCTTGGATGGGACATGAGACTTGGATGGGATACAGGATTTGGAGGGGACGTGGGGTTTGGAGGGGACATGGGTTTGGAAGGGACACAGGGTTTATAGGGGACACGGGTTTTGGAGAAGTCACAGGGTTTGTAGGGGACATGGGATTTGGAGAAGTCACAGGGTTTGGAGGGATGCAGGTTTTGGACAGGACATGGGATTTGGAGGGGACACAGGATTTGGATGGGACATGGGATTTGGAGGGCACACAGGGTTTGGGGCTCTTTGGGGGGGTGGGAGATGCTCTGGGGATTTTGGGGGGCTGTGAGCTGGATGGGGGCACCCCTGTGTCCCGCTGGAGCCAGGGGGACCAGGCCAGCTCGGGGCTGGTGGTGGCCAGGGCTCTGCTCTCCCCTCTGCAGGGACAAACGCTGCCGTGTCCCCCCCGCCACCGTGTCCCCATGGGTGTCCTCAGCTGCATGAAGTACCTGATGTTCATCTTCAACGTGCTGGTGTTTGTGAGTCCTCTGGGGCCCGGTGGGGTGGGGGGGGACCCGTTCCCAGGGTGGGGAACACCAGTCCAAGGGAGGGGACCCCCAGCAGAGGTTAGAGCCTCCCTGAGTCCCCCTGCGCCCCGTAACCCCGGTGTGTCCCACAGGCTGGGGGGACGTGCCTGGCGGGTCTGGGGGTCTGGGTGGCCGTGGACCCGGCTGGTTTCCAGGACATCGTGGCTACCAAGGCGGCGCTGAGCACGGGTGCCTACCTGCTGCTGGCCGTGGGCATCGCCCTGGCACTGCTGGGCTTCCTGGGGTGCTGCGGGGCCCTGCGCCGGAGCCGAGCCCTGCTGCTGGTGGTGAGAGGGGAGACGGGTGGGGAGGGG